TAAATTGCTTCTGGCCTAACTAGTTATTTAGGGCGCGTTTTTTGACCCGTTGCCTTGGACCTAAGTGGGGAGAATTTTAATCAGAAAAAAATACAAAAAATTTTTAGTCGGAGTCCCTTTAATTCAATAAATAAATTTACTGTATTGGATTTTTTATTACTTAAAAAAGTTTTGAATGAGATTGTAACCTCCAAAATTTTAAAGGTGGGGGGACATGAAAAAAATAATGTTCTAGAAATTTCGTTTAAATATGCCTCTCGAGGAGTTGAACGTGTGGGACGAGGATTAAGGGTGCGGCGCCGCTACCGACTGAGCTACACGGGCAAAGTGAAAGCGGTCGCCCGATTGCATTCAAAGGCGAGGACGACATCTGTACGCAGAGTGACATTAAGCGTTGTACACCGTCACGGTAGAATGCATACTCTGGCCCCAAAAATCCCCCGTAAAATCTCCTGTCCCCCCACCTTTAAGCCAAACTTATACTAAAGTATCGAGAATTTAGTAAAAGTTCAATTTACAAAAGAAAAACTTCCAGAAGAAAATAAAATAGACCAAAGTTTTTGGAGCACACTGTTGGTACACTCTGCTCCATTCGTCGCAAAAATATAGGGACGTTTTTTCCCCCATTCCTCGTCTGAAAATTGTACTTTTCTCTCCCTCGACTCCAATCCATTTTTTATTTTCTCTCCAGTGTTCCCATAATATTTTCAGTGCTCTCTTACGGCGACGACCAAAAGGGCAATATCGTCAGGGAATGACATTCAAGGCAAACGAGAAAAAGGAGTGCAAAAACTCGAAAACAAAAAGTGCAAGTCTTGAAAAATAGCATTCCAGTGAAGAGAGGAATTCAGAGAAAAGAAGTGCAAGAGTGGAGAAAGGAGAAGAGAGAAAGGCCAAAGATTATGAGGCTGTTTTTCTGCTTTTTCTTTTGAGTCAGAAAATAAATACGAAATAGGGGAGGACCACTGAAACTAAAACTATTTTTATCCAAAGAATAAATCGATCGATCAAGATACTTCGAAACCAAACGAAAGACAGATGGAAAATTCGAAAACTTTGACCTTAAAATAGCCAAGACCCGGTGTAAAACGAGTGGAAGAATTTCGATAAAATCAGATGTACCTTCAGAATACGGTTGCCTTCGAGAGAAGATTCACAAAGATCTCTACGGTAGATTAAAATCGTTCAGATAGATGATCGCTAAAAGGAAATGTGTGGAACAGGACATTTTATAGAAAAATATAAACTAGACAGTAGTTTTAGAAACGAGATTGAAAGATCGAACTCTTTTGAAATTTCGACTTTTCGATTGAATTGAATTCGTAGTTCAGAACTCAAATTTCAGACCTAAAAATATCAATTATTTTAATTTTGTGTCTAATATATAGAACAATTAGTCGTAGGTTTCTGATATGTGAATTTTTGATTTTCTCTCGATAATACAAATATGGTTATCAAAGACTACAGAATACTATCAGTCGGTATCGGTCATCTTTGCAACACATTTCCAAATAGTTCATTGCAAACTTAAATGAAAAAAGAGCAAGATCATTTTTTGCTGATCTTTTTCATGGTCTTTCATCCATTGACAAATAGAATATGGACATAAGAAGAAGAAAATGGACCAATGAAAACGGAAAAAAACCAGAAAGAAAGAAAAGCGAGAAATGTCAACAAATCAACGAAACGGTGCGGAGCCAAATAGAGGATAAAATAGACATTTTCCAACGATCAAAGTTTCGTTTTGGGAGGAGAAACGCGAAGAGGAAAACTAATAAATCTTTTGATTTTTAAATTAGAGTTTGGTTTCCGGGAAAATGCATTAAAGACCGCAAGTGATAGCCAACTCTTAGATCTTTAGCCGCCGCATGTACGTTTTTCGGCAACCCTGCCTTACCTGCCGTAAAACCTGTAAAAGTAGGGCCCCATACTGTCTATTTGGAGCTCAGTTATTTTAATTCCTAGGCAAGATATAAAATTTTGTGATCTGATAAAACGTTTCTGATATTATGATAAACTTTATCAGTTGACAACTTCTGGATATCCTTTACAGGAACACAGAAAAATGGTCTCAAAGTTAAAATTGGTTTTACGGTCTATTACTACTAATGAAGCAGGAAAATAACCTCAATTCTGAAAATTGCTTGAACTAGCTCCATCTGCTATTTTTTCACAAAAATATTATAATTCCTCTGCAAAGATCTACCACACTGCGTAACAGTAAGTTCGATTGAATTAAGAACAGTTTCCTTCCCGAGTACTTTGTTCTCTATTCATTTGTGTCCTCATCTTAGCCTTTTCAATCAAATAATAAAATATTTAGGTCAATGTTTGCTCACTTTCTCAAACCGTTGGGGTCAGTTTTTGCGCGAAACTGTTTTGTGGCCTGCTATTGAGACAAAAGTTCGGGTGTCAGGAAATTGGTGAAAAGTTTGTTTCGTTGATTTTCCAATGAAAAATTGTAGAGATTATGATAAACGTTTTGTCAGTTGATCACTTTTTGATATCTTTGATAAGAACCGAGAGAAAAGAGCTCAAAGAAAAGAGTTGCGATTTGGCCGGCCTTCTATTAGAGTGGTTACTGTAACTATTGTCTCCTGTGAGTCCGATAAACTGTTGCCGGTAGTTGGCACATAGTGGACGGGTAAAGATGTTTATTGAGTTATCAGAAGTGTCACAAAAAAAGGAAATAAATAGAATGAGCAAGAAAAAAGAGATTAAGTTTGTCATCCGCACAATTGGAGAGGTTCTGATGAAAATCTATCTAGAATGCAATAATAAAAAAAAAAGACTAAAACTTTCAAATGGTTTATATTTGATCAATTTAGATGACAAGTATTATTGAGCTTCAAATTTCACATTGTTAGTCATTTCCGCCAATCTACAGTAATCTGGATACGACATCACAGTAGCACATCAGTCGGGGATTACATTTAGAGACTTTAGGAGAAGAGGTTCAACCGAGAAAGTGGAGTTCTATGAAGTCGTCTTATGTTGGTGCAATTTAATATTTGAAGTCAATAAAGATTTCGAACATCTTGGAAATAGAAAATGTTCAGTTTGACCATTCTTTGAACGTACCTCACATTTTCTTCTCTCCATAGAGTAAAAATTACCAGGTTTGATGAGAACGGGCGTAATGTTTTTTGCAATTCTCATGAGATGAAGCAAATTTGACAAACAGTAACTCAGCTCAAAGTTGATGAAATCATTTGAAATTCGGCATGTTTACTGATGAATTATTTGAATTTTTGTTCTCCAAATTTGAGCTCAATACAACGCGTTACTAACATTTTATGGTAGTACAAACATTAGCTTGGGTAATTTTGCGCCACCCTGCACTTTCATTCTAATAGTAAAACGGTTTCAAAACGTTTCTAGAACGTTTCCATAATTTTTAAAATGCAAATACAAAAGAGGAAGTACGAAAATAGGTAGGGACTGTCTGCAGTACTCCTATTCTTTTGATATCTATTCTGCTCATTGAACTGTTTTGATGTAGGGGTAGGGCAGTGATGTTTCTTTGCACTCGTTCTCTGATTTTGTTTTCAAAGGGATATTCTATATTTGCAAAAAAAAAGAAGTCACATGTCATTGAGTATCTCCTTCTTCTTTTCGATCCACCCTTCCTTTTTACAGAAGAATCGGTTTCAATTTATCACAAGATAAATGTATGTATCATTCCAATCAGCTACACAGAATGATCAAGAAGCGTGTCGACAGCGTGTTTGTGTTGCTTCCCTTATATCGTTTTCCGATATTCCCTCATGTGATTATCACTCTGATGGCGTTCAACTTTGTGCTGTTTTTCATGGAGATTTCGAGAAGAAAAGAGATATATTATGACCTCGAAACGACGCTCCTCCCCATGGGAGACTAAACGTGTTTCCAATGTGTGCGAACAATGATTTGCACTGCGGACACAACTTTCTGATATCACCATTACTATCAATCCCTATCAAAAAGGGATTTCCCATTTGTAACTCGATTTGCAGACGGGGTACAAAAATAGGAGTTTTTCAAACTATCTGCAATAATGACGCACCGTAAAACCTGTAACAGAAGGTCCCCTAACAGTTAACATTGACCTAATTCAACTCGATTCTTGTCAAAGATACTAAAAAGTGGTCAACTGATCAATTCTTAATCATAACATCAGAAGTGCTTTGTCAGTCGACATATTGTTGATATTTTGCAAAAGGGTCAAAACAAGTTTGCTCAAACTTGACACGTCGAGAGCCCTTAAGGTTTGTAAACTGAAACATAGACAAATCCATGCTGAAAATGTTATGTAGATCAGAAGATCAGAAAAATAGATACCGTAAAACCTCTAATAGAACGACACCCGGATCGTCCACTTTGAGCCTATATATCTCACTTCTTTTGAAAGGTATC